ATTCCAACCACCTGAAGAAGGCTGAAGCATACAATGGCCGAAACATTGTAATAAATATTGCAACAAAGATGAGGACAATAGTCTGAATAATGTAAATAGTGTACATAATACCTCATCTCAGAAATATAGACAGATACAGAGAGATATATATATATATATATATATATATATATATATAATAGAATATAATTTTGGACATCAAAAAATATTCATAATCCATTTCATAAACTTTTGATTGAATACAATAGCATTATAAATAAAACATTTTAAAAAAACCAGGATTCATTATTGGTGGCTACATTCATAACAAGATATGTAAATGAGACCATCTTGATAGAAGACCTAGTAAGGAAACTACAATAACTGCTATATAAGGGAGAGAAGGAAAGTAAAGAAAAAGGACTAAACATGAATTGCAAGAAAAAGGAATGCATAGTTTTTAACAAAGAAAAAAAAACAGCCCAACAGGCAAATTAAAAATTAGAGATACCCAAAACAAAGAAGTAAAACAATATAAATATCTTGGAAGTGTTTTAACAGAGGATGTAAAATGCAACAATGAAATCCGAAGGAACAATAGGATAGCAGAAGATGCCTGCCAAAAGCTGAGCAAAGTATTATGTAACAGGAAAATTTTATTAGAAACAAAAAAAAACTACTGAACAATTATGTAATATCAGTTTTCCTATATGGCAGTGAATGCTGGACAATCTTCTCAGATGAAGAAGCAAGAGAAATGTGGTTCTACAGAAGGATGCTGTAAATAATATGGGCTGAACATATCAGTAACAACAAAATTTTAGGAAAAATTGAAACAAAGAGGAGACTTATAGTTAACATAAAAAAAAACATAGTGGAAATTTATAAGGCACATGATGGGGAAAGAGGGCTTGGAAAATTTGATACTCAGAAGACAGACTGAAAGCAAGAGGGCCAAAGGAAAACAATGCATAAACTTTCAAGGTTTAGGAGAGATAAAAAGACAAAATTTACTAAGAGCAGGAAATTGTGAAGAGGCATGATCACTAACATCCTGAAGGGACAGTCTACATAGAACTGATAGTTTACCATAATGAACATGTACATTAACTTCAATCTAACATGATGAAAATGATGTATATATATTTAAAAAAATGAATTCTTGATTTTCAGGAATGTATTTTGGAACAAGCCTAAGTGGTTTTCAGTAGCCATGTTGATTGTACAAAATATCATGGGACAAAAACTGTTTTAACTCTTCTTGAAAGGGACCTTAAGCTGAAACTTTCTAAGATTTCAAAGATTTTTCAAGAATGAAAGAAAAACCCTTAAAGTTGTGCTGAAAATTATTCTTTCTGATTTATCAAACAATGGGCTGAATGTGTCCCATTGTCCAGTAAGCAGAGTACCAAATAAAACATGTTCTCAGTAGTAACACCTTATATATATATATATATATATAGAGAGAGAGAGAGATGAACATACTGAGATAAATAATGTGCAGACTGACTTATATACGTAAATTAACAGATACAGATTTTTTTTTTAAACAAATCCCCCCCCCCCCCAGGAAGGTGGGAGTGCCACTAGCATGCAATGGATTACAGAGAGTAAGATTAAAGAGGAGTGTTTGGGAAAAGGATAAAAAGAAGAGCAGGGATCAAGGTCAAGGCACCAGATGTCGACTGACATTACATTTGAAGATTATAACTATCAGAGAAGCAAGTGATAGGAAGGGACTTCCACTGCCGTGAGGTGTGAGATAAGAAGCTGTTGTAGTAGAAGACATGGTTACATTTAGCTGTTTTGACAGTGAAAGAGTGGGACTGAGATGCCAACCTAGTAGCACACTTAAATTCATGCAGTTTGGGAACCAGTGAAAGTAGCTCATCAGAGCAGTTACCATGAAAAACACAGAGGGAAGCCACATCACATCTGTGAGATAGTGACTGCAGACAGGATCCCAGATCAGGACCAACCACATTGCATATATCCATCTCGAGATTTTGTCAAGGACCTCAAGTTGAACAGTGGGAGCACCAAACTATATAGAACAGACTAAAATAGATAACAATGCAATTAAAATGATTTATTTGCACTATTCATATCAGGA